GGCAATTTGAAGGAGACCAAAGGGGATCACAACTATAAAATTTCTCTTCTAAAAACTCATATATGAATGGGTTTTAACCAAATAAGATAAAGAAAGAGCAGTAAAAAATTTTTAAATTACATTTCTTTGTTTATCTATTTATGTGTGTGCAAGCTTTTGTTCATGTATCAGAGTATATGTGTCAGGATCTGAGGCCAAATTTTAGGAATGGTTCTCTCTTTCTACCATGTGTGGGTCCCAGGGATCAAACTCAAGTTACTAGGCTGGGTGATAAGTGTCTTTCCCTGCTGCATATTTTAGAACACTTAACTCTAAGAGCTTTAGGACAGACTTACTCTTTCAAACAGTTGCTAGGAAAGCCTTATAGTAGGCAGATAAAAACAACTAGGACCTAGATCCATTAAAGGATAAATGCTCAATCTATTTCCCACCACTACAAGATCCTGACAAGAGATGGGTAGGGGTACCATGAGCCTTAAGGAGTGAAGACTCAGACAGAGCCTTAGAACCCAGCCTACTAGAAGAATCCTAAGAAATGCAGTAGGCAACCCTGGCTCCTCAGAACCCTCCTGGCAATCATTCAGAACCTGCTCACAAACTCAAAGTGCAGAAAAAGTATGAAAATATAAAAAACCAAAAGACTGTTTGGACAGCATTGCCCTTCAATGCCTCTGCTTCACGGCAAGGGCCTTAGTGGGTGTGGCTGCCTGGGTGGCTCAGCTTCAGCATCAAGAAGACAAAAATGGGTTAAAGGTTATTTAGTTATTTGTGTAGGTGAATCATGAAACGGGGCTTTGGGAACTAGCAACATGTTCTGCATATAGTGAACAACACTAGGGGATAGTACTTAGACCCCAGAGACGTTAAACTTTCAGACATCCCTAAAATGGACTTTGACAATTATTTCTATGCTACTACAAAACTTAGCTGTACTACAGAGCTCATGTTAACTTCCTTCAGTATTTTCTTCCACACCACCTCTAAGTCAAATCTTAGATTTAAATGGCAAAACAGGATTGTCAATAACTAGGCCTGGAATATACCCAAGTTAAACAGTATGAAATAAATGCTCCTTACAATATAATGCCACTGGCTGCATCATATAGAATACCCAACAGGGTCCTGCAGGGCAAGGCAAGGGAAGCATGTCAGCATCAATGTACATATAACGACATATACAAAACTGGAAGGAGACAACACCACACACATGTAAAGCAAAGCAGAAGAGCACATGGTTGCATATTACATGGGCTTTGGTCTTGTGAGGTACGGACAACTTCACCTCGCAGATAAAGTTCAGATGACCACACTTCTCACTCCACCCTCACTAGACCCGCCAGAAAACAATCAAAGCCATTTCCATTGCTGGTTGACTCATCAAAGGCCTTAAAATAATAATAATAATAAATAAATCATGGGGAACTCCACTCCACGGCATCCAGGACCGAATGCTATCATAACAAATCCCCAGAAACCTGTAAAGACTGGAAAGTGCACAAAGGGCCAGGAACCTATACAGAGACACTTTAGTGTCACTTTATAAGCAGCCCTGCGTATCTCACTTCCCTATTGGCCAACAGTACTTTATTCATTAACCAATAAGAGAAACATATTTACAGAATGAAATTTCCCATCACCCTGTCACCTGCACTATCCTCAAGAACAGCTCTAGAATAAAGAGCAGAGCTTCCCATCAGATCAACAGCACTGGGCTGGATTCAGAGGAGCTCCAGACAAGAAGCAAGGCAAATTCTGTAGTAGTCCAAACAAACTTCTGAAAGCCAAAGGAACCATTCCCTGGGGAATCAGAGTTGCTGAGGAAGGAAAGATGGGGAGCATCATGTCCACGAGTGTAGTCTTGTTATTTCCTAAGGCTCCCAGCTGCACCGAGATCTAGTTTTCCCAAAAAGCTATAAGTAAATGTCAGCCAGGGATGGGACTGGGAAAACAGCCTGCTGGAATATAAATGCTTATATTCATCTTGTTTCAATGTAATCTCTTAAGGGCCATTCCCATTTGCAGAGCTTAGTGACAAATCATGGAAGGACTAGCCCATTCCCCCTGAGCATCGTGACATCAAACTTTGGGGTACACTCTACACAGGCGCAATCTCAGACCTTCCAGCTGGTTATGAGGGATTTGTTGATGAAACTGAGTTTTCTGCCTTTTTCCTTTTTTTTTTTTTTTTAAACTTAAAATCTTTCTTACATGGCACAGTTGGAATGGCTACTTATTGGAAAGAAAAGCAAATGCTAGTCCAAGGAAAAACATAAGAAGAGATTAAACCAGTAAGGTATGCTGCAAGGCTTTTGTACAGCAAGTAGACTATATGTCGATCAAGTTGCCGTAATTCCTAGGGTGACAAATTTCCATGCCTTCCAACTTTAGACCTCCTGTGACATTTAATCTACCTAAGGATATTGAACAAATTCATAGTCTTAGATTACGAGGTTAAAAAACAAATTATAAATGCTTATACACATTTTGTTTCAATGTAGTCTCTAAAGTGCAATTTCAACAAAGCTACAATATAAAGGTCCAACAGCATTGCTCTCAAAAGTTATTAAACTGGAGAGCTGGCTAGTAGTTATGAGCACTGGCTGCTCTTCCAGAGAACCAGGGCTCATAAGGCAGCTCCCAACCACCTGTAACTCCCATTCCAGAGGATTCAATGCCCACTTTGGCCCCTGTAGGCCCCTCACACATATGGTACACAGACACACATGCAGGCAAAAACCCATACACATAAAATACATAAATCTAAAAAACTACTAAAATGCAACATCAAGACACATTGCACATAAGTATGGCATTATCCGATTAAATATTCTAAAAATAAATAAAAATTAAGCTGCATTTTAATTTGGATATTTGAAATTGATAATGTAAAAATACCACAGGAATCTTCTAGCATTTCAGTAGTCAAACTTAACACAATCTGCCAATAAAGAATATTCCATTTATTTATATTTTGGAAAATTTGATTTATTGATAAGATGTTAACATTGCATAATTTCATGAATAATATTACATGATATTAACATGTTAACTAACTGCAAAAAACTGTCGAAGATGAAAATCAAAATGGGTCAGTATATGATCTTGCTTGACAAGCATTTAACATACTATAAAACCATCAATCTTGGTTTTATCCAAAGTATACCCAAATAAAGGCCATGCTGTCATTTGGAACAGTAGGAACAGGAGGCCATGCACCATAAACTAAATAACAGTAACTGTGACATACAAGTTGCTAACATCCTCTGAGATACTATTTTTTCTACTTGGAAAGTGACAGACAGTCATGGACCACAGGAGATCTCTCCTTTATTTGGAAAGTGACAGACAGACATGAATAGAAGATCTTTCCTAACCAGTGAACAGACAGACTTGTGTCTGAAACTCATTTCTTTGTAGGTACCTCAGAGATGAATGACACAAAAACACACTGTGACCCTCATTTGTCATATTAGTGAGCTGGAGCCAAGACTAAGTCAATCCTAACAACTCAGCTAGGAAGGTAAGGAGTTGAAACATGACACAGAGCTCCAAAACCCAGTCCAGACCCCTAGTCAACCAGCTAACATGGAAATATAACAAAGCCAAACCTCTGCTGTCCAATGAAAGGACAGTGATCATTCATTCAATGAGTTTATATTCTCTGTGAAGAGCCAGCAAGAAACAAAAGAAAAATCCTTGGCCCCAGTTTACATTGTGGCTGAGAAAGCTACACCAAGATGATCAAAATATGGTGGAGACAGCAAGTGTTTCCGGATGTTCAATTTTAGAGGCAGGTACCATTTGAGGATTTGCAACAATATCGAATCCAGTGTAGTTTTCCTAAGCATTTCCCAAACAGGGACTAATTTGGATACAGGAAAGGTCTGGCCTACAGATCCAATTTGATTGATTGCCCTAACCTATGAACTGCCAGCTATGAGCTGTCATCTTGGTAATCTAAATTTCATATTAACAAAGACATCTGACCCCTACCCCCAGTCCACAATGAGCAAAATGTTACAAGGCAAGGCTAGGCTAAAGGCCAGAAGTTTCAAGGGCACTTGGATTGTTTCTGAGTTCGAACATCTCCAAAAACAAAGATTAAAGTACAGCGTATGTGCCGGGTTCTGCTGGGGCAGAGCTCTCATAACGGCATACACACAATTTTCCTTTTTCTGACTTGCCAATTCTAGTGACATTGTCTACCATTAGTCTATATTTAACCAGCTTACAAGGCACTTTCTCCAGCTTTTTAGCTCCCCCCCCCTCCCGATATTAAAAGAGCAACCCAGTTTGCCTAAAGGAAAGTTGCTAAAGAAAAGACAGCAGCCTCCTTGCAAATTCTGACCCGATGCTATAAGCTGGGTCTGAACCTTTTCATTAATCTGATAAATTGGGCTAAGGTTTGTGTCGCTTAAGTTTTACAGTGCCCTCTTGGTGGTTACAATCTCTGGGTCCTCCACCACAACTGTACCCAAAGAATGACGGAGGGTCTTTTCAGATTCGCAACAGTTTAACCTGTTTGTAACAAGGGAGTGGCAAATTGACAGTTGGGCTTTAGGGGCTGGGGCCCGGGCGGTGGTGGGGGTGGGGGCTTCCCACCGAGATCTTACAGGGTTCCCCTTCTGCCTTACACCGCGGGTGTTTGTTTGGCTTCCCCGCGCAAAACCAGGCTCGGCCCACTGTGCGGTGACTCGGAGGTAAACTTTTGCGGGGCTCGGCTGGCCGGGCGGGGCCTGTCGGGGAGGAGAGGTTCTTCCTGGAGCAGCCCCGCCCTGCTCGCGGGTGCGGGTCCCAGGACTGCCTGGACACCGCGTTTGGGGCTTTTTGCTGACCTCCCGGGACTCCGGAGCCATGGCGATCTTGGTGGGGACGGGGCCTCCAGGAGAGGCCCGTGGGAACCAGAGGGGCGCGGCGGCGGAGCCACGGGAGCCGCGGATGGCCAGGCCAGAGGGAAGGAGGGAGGGATGCGGAGGCGATGGGCGGCGGCGCCCGCTCACCTGATGTATGGGCTGGCCGCCGCCAGGATGTTCTTCTGCACCGGGATCTCCTCGCCGTCGAGGACCAGGTGCGCGTCGCAGAAGCGCGCCTCCTCCCGGAACGAGCTGAGCGCCCGCAGCAGACGCGCGGCGTGCTGAGGGTCCGACACAGCGCTGCCCTCGGCCATCGCGCCTCCCGCCCCTCCGCCGCCCGCCTGCCCGCCCGAATCCCGCGCGCGTCCCCGCCGTCCACTCCGTACGTCCGCCCGACCCGACTCAGGGTAGCGCTGGAGTCAGAGCTGGAAGCCCAGCAACGCGCCTGCGCCATCGGCGGCGCGTGCAGTCGGTGCCTTTAAGGATCCGTGGCGTTGCATCATCTCTCCGCGACACCCCGCCCTACCTCATAGCAGCCAATCGGAAGTCTCCTTCCTTCCCGGTAGGGCTGGACTCTGAGCCCCAGGCGCACCCAGCGGTGGTTGGAGTTTGGAAATGGGTTCGGGAAGAAGGGGTCAGTGGATCGGCGGAAGCAAGTTCGGACCCGAGTCTCTGTGATTCGAGTGCTATCAATGTGGACAGAGTTGAGATTCAGAGTGAAGCCGAGGACTTATTCCTTTCGCGGGAACTAAACCCTGCTAGGTTCACATCCGTTATTCCCGGGCAGAGCGCGGAGTCTGCAGGAAGCATTCGCTGAAGATGTCGCGGTGAAACGTGAGAAGCACGTCAGCTTTGCAAGGCTGTGGCAAGGAAGTTGTTTTCCTCCTGCAGGGTCTGCGGTTGGGGACCAAAAACACTGGAAGGGTTTTTAATGGGGCTATAAGAGTAAGGTGTTAGGGACGTCACTAAGAGGCTGGGTGGAGAATTAGGTCCGGGTGCTTGAGGCAGATCCACGCTGATTATTAGATGGTGGCCTGGATCAAGGACTTTGTACGCGCGCGCGCTCACACACACACGATCACAGTGGCGGGGGGGGGGGTGTTCTAGTCAGTCAGTACTTTTCAGTAAAGATAAAGTCTGAAAGGCTGGGGGGTATAAAGCCAGATGTTCAAATGGTGGGATCAGACTTCCCGTACAGGCAGATCAAGGCTGTGACAGTAAGCAACTCTGGATGAGCTTACTCTACAGAGCAAGCCTCATACTGTCTGAAGTTTCCCTGGAAATAGCTGAAAATGTTTGGGAGTGGAGGAGGTAGCTACCGTTTTTGTGCAAATATTAAGGTGCTCAAACCTTCAGAAATTTTTTGTTTGTTTTTATGAGACAAGGTTTCTCTGTGTAGCCCTGGCTGTCCTGGAACTCTTTGTAGACTAGGCTGGCCCTAACTCACAGAGATCCTCCTGCCTCTGCCATCCAAGTGCTGGGGTTAAAGGTGTGGGCCTGGCTAGAAGATTAAGTTTTATAAGGACCAAAGATCAGAACATTTGGACAGCATCCCAGATAAGGCAGGATGGAGCTCTCACAGTACCAGCACAGCCTCCCTTAGTCCAAAGGCCCCAGGAAAGTCTTGGGGTTTTACTTTGGAAGTAGCCAAGGCTTTGGCGTCACTGGCAGGAATCAGAGTATAAACTGTACTCTCAGGGCAGGAGACAAACTGAGGCAAGGAAGTTACTAGTGGGAGTCCCACACAACACAGCTCAGTATCTATGGGGGCAGTGATAAAAACATCTAGAATCTGTGCCAAAACCAAGGGCTGGGGACTGCAGAGGGAAGTAAAGGTAAATCACAAGGGACCGTGAGAAAAGCTGGTAGTGGGTTATGGACATGAGTTCTATAATACTATCATTCACTTGTGTCTATTGAGAAAATATTGTAATAAAGTAATGCAAGCCTGTCTTCTCTATAATACCAGCCCAGTGCTCTTGGGCACAGTTAACACTCCTTTGTCTAAGAAGTTGCTGTATTTTGAACATTGCTCTACAAGACACTTACTGTAGGGATTTTTTTCCCCATATGACTAGCAACTTCTGTATTTGTAGCTTGGCAAATAACAGGTGCTAAGTACTTGGTAACAGACTACTTGGTACACAGTGCTTTCTTAGGGTTGGATAGATGGTGGATGGTGTTTTATTTTTTTGGCTGTGCATAACCAAGCATTAAATAACTATTTCTTGGATTGTATTTTTTTTGTTGTTCATTTTCTGTCAATTGGGCTGTTGTCAAATTGGACTATACCAGTGGAGAATGGTCCAGTCTATAGAACCTCACGCTGTACAAGCATGAGGACCTGAGAGGGGAAGGCACTGGGTGAAGGGCAAGAACATCCCCAGGGCTTGCTGGCCATCCAGTTTAGCCAGAATGAGAATCCTAAGGACCCCTCCTGTCCGAAAAGTAATGGAGAAAAGCGATTGAGGAAAAAGACCTGTTATCAGCCTCTGGCTTCTCCAGATGCTTGCACACCTCCCCCGAGGGATGGATATGACTAGGAGAGCTTTACACTCACAGGTATTTGTAAGAGTGTGTTATTTGTTTGTAATGATGGTCTATGCTTCATGTGTCAGAGGCTCTGAAAAAAAAAACAGCTATAACAAAAGGATGGTCAGTTAGCTGATGGGAGGGTTTTCTTCACAGAAGCAGCTGAGAGTGAGTGAAGGTTAGGCAGACTCTGCCTGGTAGAGATGAACTTCCAATGTTTCCATCAGGAGGAAGGCATGTATTGGGCAGAGTCTCCTATCAGTCATTATCTTTCGGGAGGAAGGCAGTTACTGGCTGGAAAGGTGCACCTGCACAGCAGGACACAGCACCACCTCCACGATTTCCAGTCTTCCCCAGCACTTAATCTGCTTGCTGAACCCTGAGTCACCCTTTGAAACTCAGTTCAAACACGACTGTCTATAGGCCTCCTACTAACTTCCCAGGACAAGGCAGGCAAGTGCCGTATTTATCACATTGTGCTTTATTAATTTATTGTGGTGTTGGGATCCAGCTCAGGGCTTGTGTATGTTAGGCAATTGCTGCAACATTGAGTCCAGCCATTCCCCACTCCAGGTCTACTTTACTTCTGCACTTTCCCGTCTCCCTCTGCTGGGTTGAGAGTACTTCTAAGGGAAGGTCGGTGTTGGATGCACCTGTTCTCTGGGACTTGCATAGTGCCTGGTACCTAGTAGAAGCTTCCATCTCATGCTTAGCAAGTCAGGTACTAGATTAGAGTGATGTAGGATGCCTAGATGAAGAACACATCCCCACAAACCCAGCTGATTGCCACATGGGATTAGTGCTAGCAACTCATTCCACTTGGGGGGGGGACTAGTCTCATGGGTCTACAACAAAGATCTGGCTCCAACCCCTTCTCAAAGGTCAACAGAAAACCATCACCTGAGAGTTCATGATCCACTGATGCTAGGCTGACACTAAAAGATGTCCAGTTGAGTTCCAGGGTTCCAGAAGCATTCAGCCTGGTGTTAAGGGGTAGGAGGAGTCCTGGGGGGTTAGAGGAGCAACTGCTCCCCACCCCAACTCTCCTGGTTGTGCCTTGGAATGCTTTGCAGTCATTCTTGATACTGCTCAAACTGATCTGTCCTTGATATTAGTCATGATCATTGAAGTTGTGTATACAATGTTATTGTTTTTCAGCATTCCATAAGTATCAGATAGCAGTTATTGTGAAACAGGACATCTGAGAGATTCCCATACTACCCAGCCAGTTTCAGTCTCTGGTGACAACATTGAGCTTACAGCCTCCAGAGGAAGGGCTTCCAGTGTGGTGCGTGCTTCTGTGTGTGTGTGTGTGTGTGTGTGTGTGTGTGTGTGTGTGTGAGAGAGAGAGAGAGAGAGAGAGAGAGAGAGAGTTGTGTGTAAGACCAAAAAAGCTGTTGGCAAGATAATAATAGTAGTAGTTGGTGAGTAGAGTGACTTTTTAAAGTATTGGCTATCTGGTCTTCACAGCAGGTACAGTGATCCTGAGAGTAGACATGCGTTTCTCTTACATTTTTTGGTTGTGAGCCTAGCCTTTAATTGCTGAGCCATCTCTCCAGCCCCAGACATATGTTCCTCAATAGCTCTTTATTCTCTTCACTTCCTTCCTCTTTATTTTTTTTTCACTGATCATGTGCCATGTTTACGGTTGAGAAAAGAAAATTTCCATTTGCAAAATAAATAAATAAATAAATAAATAAATAAATAAATAAATAAATAAAAATCTTCTGTTGAAAACTGAGCTCTCAAGAGAACCACACCCTTGGGGATTTAGGCTTTTATTTTAAAGTAAACTATGAGTCCAAGACAACACTGCAACGAAAAGAAATAACCAAGACTTTGAGACCATGGGATCAGATCGACTGTCTTATGGAAGAGAAAACTGAAGTTCAAATCAGTCAAAGCCTCCCTCAAGGTCATTCGGGAATTTGGCTGAGGTCAGATTTCTGCCTCTCAGCCCTGTAAGCTTTTCCATTCTCAAAAGTTGGCTCTTTATAAATACTCATTTGGTTGAGACCGTCTCTTCTGATTCATTTTCAGGTAGTCCTCAGACATTTTATTGGGCAAATCTGTCATTTGTCCAAATCCATAGATAGCACTTTCTGAAAAGCCTAAGTGCTTCCCAAATCGCTGAGTCAGAAACCAGGTCAGTATTTATGATGCTTGAGAGTTGATTCTATATATTTCATAGTGCCCAGAGAAATGTCTCAGAAACCAGGCAGCCAATTAAAATTGTAACGAAACTCCGTGAAGGTAGAGGCTGTCCTTGTACCCCTCCCAGGATCCATCATAGTACCTGACACAGATGCTAGGTGCTCCATACAGATTTACTCAGTGAGTAAATAAATGTTAATAGGGATGGCAGATATTTTCCAGTCCCTACCAGGTAACTTCAGGTGCTATTTCCCACAATTCTCCACTGGCTTACTTAATAATAACTACCTGACACCCTGGCATAGCTAATGGCCATCTGTAACTTAAGCATGTCACAAAATAAACTCATGAGGGCTGAAGACATGGCTCAGCAGGTAAGAGCACTGGCAGCTCTTCCAGAGGACCTGAGTTCTATTCCTAGAACCTACAGTTTGAGTTACAACCATCTGTATAGCTCCAGCTCTAGGGGATCTGATGCTCTTTTCTGGCCTCCTCAGGTATTGCATAGCCCAGGGGCACAGACATACACAGAGACAAACAAACCACAAACAAACAAACAAACAAAAAACAACCAAAAAACCTCAAAATTAAAATAAATACAATCTTTCAAAATTAAAAAATAACAAAACCTGATTTGACCCCTCAAACCTAGTTGAAT